GACTTCATGCTGTATGATTCTAAGTCGCAAGGACGAGCCTTGAACTATGAGATTCGCCCATTTGGTACGACGAACTCACGCAGAAATAGGGGTGGTACTCGAAAATCTAAGTACCATGTACGTACACTAAGCCCGGTCCGTGATGTCGGACTGCTAAGTCCCGCACAATCACAACTACAAGAGACGCACTTCAGCCTGATCTCTTGCGCATGCACATGATGTGATATGTTTCAATATGAATGATGAAATGAATCACATGATATGAACAATTTGTAAACAACATGATTGGATAAATATACTTTATTTTATTTGGATGTAATCTGATAAAAATATCATTTAATTAAGCTACGGGGCTCGGAACGGTCGACCGTTTGGCGTGACGGTCGACCACGGTTGACCGGCGGTCGACCGTTGTTGACTGAAGGAAAAACGGCGGTCTTGACTGGGCAGGCGGCGGTCGACCGTTGGCCACCGGCGGTCGACCGTTTGTCTGACAGTCTTGTTTCGTTTCAATGTTTAATACGACGGTTGACCGTTTACGTTGACCGTTCGAGTGTGCAAATCCTATTTTTGATATTTTTGGATATTTAAAATACTTCTTTGAGTTATTTTAACACTTATGATTAACAATCTATGTAGTTGAAGCATTTCTAATACTTATATGTATCACATATTTATTTTTGGGATGATTTCAACATATGGATTAACATATATGTTCATGTACGCATGTGATGAATGATTCGACAAGTCTAACGCCAAGGTACAGACCTGGAAATCATCGGCCGAAACCTTACGGATGAGCGGGAGTGGAAACAACATCGAAATTTGCCAACTTTGTCATTTCCGTCACAACTGGACAGCTTGCGGTAATTTGGGCATATCTCCATCGTTTCTCCACGGAATTGCAAACCGTTTGATTCTGTGGATTCCTAAGATGTAAGGCTACAACTTTCGTATAGAAAGTATTTCGTTTTAACATATGTAAGATAGCGTAAATCGGACCTGAAGTCAATAGAAAGTTGCTGTCCAGAATTTCAGGTATGTCGATGAACATGATTCCGACGATTAACTCACTAACTTCAATGTTCCAATGCCGAACTTTCTCTACGATACCTTCCGGATGTTCCTAATAATTGTTAGAGAGTTTATGGTAAGTATTTGGGATGAAATAATATGAATTTTGGTGAAGAAAAACATGCCAACCCGAGGAGCTCGCCACCACTGGCGCAGTCCCGGTATTTTGGCCATATCTTCTTCGTTACTTAACGAAATCGCGAGCCGTTTGTTGGGTTGGATTCGTAACGTCCGGGGCTACAACTTTGGTTCAAGAAGTATTTCGAGATAATGGATAGAAAATTTCAGTTTTTACCTAGAAGTGGGCTGCTGTGTTTGAACTCAGGATTTTAGAAACTTTAGTTACTTTCTTCTTCCTTAACATGAAATCATGGAGTTGGAATCTCCTTTTTCCTTCCTTGGTGCCTGACCGACAGAGAGAGAGAGGTGAAGAGGAGAGATGATGGATGGATGATTGGTGATGATGTTTGATGATGAATATGTGGTGGAGAAAATGGAATAAAGGTGGGAGTATTATATAGGAAGGGTTGGATTATAGTGTTAGTGGAGTGGAGTGGGGTAGCTAAGGAGAAAAGGTCTCGTGATTGAAGGAGTTTTGAAGATTTTAAAATATTCTCCTACTCCGTAACTGATAAACTGGCTAAAACGGTACGCGCTTTTTCGCCCAAACTGTTCCGAATTGAAAACAAATTGTATTTTTGGAATCAGACTGTCAAAACTAGAATTTTGACGTAATCAAAATATTTTNAGATAATGTATGGAGAATTTCAGTTTTTACCTAGAAGTGGGCTGCTGTGTTTGAACTCAGGATTTTAGAAACTTTAGTTACTTTCTTCTTCCTTAACATGAAATCATGGAGTTGGAATCTCCTTTTTCCTTCCTTGGTGCCTGACCGACAGAGAGAGAGAGGTGAAGAGGAGAGATGATGGATGGATGATTGGTGATGATGTTTGATGATGAATATGTGGTGGAGAAAATGGAATAAAGGTGGGAGTATTATATAGGAAGGGTTGGATTATAGTGTTAGTGGAGTGGAGTGGGGTAGCTAAGGAGAAAAGGTCTCGTGATTGAAGGAGTTTTGAAGATTTTAAAATATTCTCCTACTCCGTAACTGATAAACTGGCTAAAACGGTACGCGCTTTTTCGCCCAAACTGTTCCGAATTGAAAACAAATTGTATTTTTGGAATCAGACTGTCAAAACTAGAATTTTGACGTAATCAAAATACTTTTCTGAGAACTATTATTTTTCTCAGTGTCCGGGTCTGTCTCAGTCATAATTTAATATAATAATATGAATGAGATAAAAATATATGAATTAAATCCAAATGATAAATTTGATATTGTCAAGTGTCAAAATTATGATTTCTAATCTGATGAAATCACTTTTGAATTTAGTTTATTTTATGGGTCAAAGTTACAAATTTTACTATTTAAAATTGACATATCTTGAAATCTACAAATCAGATTGGTTTATAAAATGTACCGTTGGATTCGTCTCTTCGAGACATATCCATAAATACAATTTTTTTTAACAAAAGTCATTATTTTGAAAATCCATTTATTTTTAGTCAAACGTACAAATATTCCTTATTGGATAAAAACTACTTTTGTTTTATAATAAATTTTAGGCCATATTTTGTGGCGTTACAAAAATCCCCTATAAATAGAGGGAAGCGAGGAGAAGAAGGGGCCACCTAGAGAGAGAGAGAAAAAACAGAAAAGAAGAGAATAGTGTGGCGATAGAGAGAGAGATATGTTTGTCCTCGAGGAAGCCCCATCGGGCCACTCATATATAAACTTAAGATTTGAGTTGCTCTCTGAATTTAGGCCTTGTAAGGTCTAAACTCTAACACTTAGCATAATTTTTTCCAACGTAGTTGTCAGAAATTGAACTCGGGTTTAACTTTTGGCGCTCCCTACTAGGAGTGTATACAAATCAAATATAATTAATTTGATTCGTGATTCGAATTTGGAAAAAGATTATTCATATTCGATTAAATCGAATTCGAATCCGAATACAAGCCTAGTTTTAAATTCGAATCCAAGTCAAATTCGAATATGAATATCAAGAGGTCAAATTCGTTTATAATTCAATTTATTCGAATATTTTAAAGTTTAAATAATCAAAGAAATTACGTTTTATCTAGAGAATATTATTTATATACGTTAGACTAAAATTGATGGCCAAGATCTTTCCAAACTAACCTTATCTCATTTACTTTTTTTAGGAATTGTGTTTTTTTTAAAAAAAACTCTACTGTTTTCGAATTTGAATATTTGAATACGAATTCAATTACATCGAATGCCCTCTCGAATCGAATAAGAACATTTTTTAGATTCAAATTCAAACTTGAATATGTGTCATTCTAAATGAATCCGAGACGAATATCATGATATATGATTTGATTCGATTCGTATATATCCTTACTCTCTGCCTTTGTCAACCATGCAACACCCACAAACATTTTTTTTTGTACAAGACTTGACGTAAGAGTAGATGTGGACCAAAAAAAACTCTCCGTCAAATTTAGAGAGTGTTTCTCTGTGCTGGTACTTATTTATTTATTGTTCATAAGTAGTTTTTAACTTATAAGCTATTTATAAGTCAAATATTCTTTCGTAGAAGTAAAATGACTTAAATGATAAATAAATCATTTGTAAGTATTCATAAATGATGATAAACAATTTTGTAAATAATCTAGTCAAAACGGAGAAATAAAAAATTTAACTTAAGTATTTATGAACTACTTATTTTTTTGGCTTAGCATCTTATAAGTCAGCTTATAAGCACATAGAAAAATGTCAAACTAACTTATAAGTTAAAATTTGCTTACAAACACAATAAAACATCCCAGTTAATTGATTGTAACTTCAGTCAACCAAAATTCAATTGATCGTAACTTCAATCCACCAAAAATCAATCCTTTTCAAAGAATATAATTGTATCATTGACATCATTACTCAGACGAAAAAAGTGCATAATGCCTTTTACTTCTCACTCAAACTCCAAAAGTGTTTAGATAAAATCAAAGATCTTTTTAAATGTGTTAATATATGTCACTAAATTAATTAAGATCATAGATGTGGCAAAAAAGGATAATGATATTCGTACCCAAAGAATTTGTACTCCATTTTGTACACCGCAGGAATACACCAATATTTTGTATTGGTGTAATGCTAATTTTTGTTAACGCACCAACACTTTGTGTCGGTGTGAACCATCAAAATGTTGGTGCATACCTTTCGTATACAAATGGGGTACATGTAGCATGCTCCGGCAAAAAAACCCCTCATAACAATAAGAGCTCCTACCTATATATACGCATACGCAATATATATATATATATATATATATATATATATATATATATATATATATATATATATATGCACTCTAAACAATAAAGCACACTGTAAAAGTGTGCTTAAAATAGAGAGGCAATAAGATGAACTAACCACACCACTCATTCTGTACACATAAACCTAAATCCTAACCTCACCTAAATATGATGCAGAGAAGGAAATGCTGCTTGAATCGCCGCCTCTTCAGCCACCAATCTTCTGAGCAGCAGCTGCTCGTGCTTCACGAAGTCTATGAACAAATCTCTCAGTAGCTTTGCCTGCGCGTACTCTTCAGTGCCTGAACGAACCAACATTACTTTGTCATCCAAAGGCGTGCCATCACAATGTTCCTACACAAGAAGATTTTTGCACAATGGTGTTTCATACTTTGGCAAAAGAGCATATTTTGCAGCAATATTTTTTGTTTTGCAACTTACCTGATACTTGCGGAGTAGTTTCCCGAGTGAAGATTGAGAGTTCATTCCAAGCCTAGTGACACTTTCAATTAGTACCCACGGCCTGTTCAAAACAAACATTTCAACAACAAGAAGAAACCCAATATATTCCCGCAACACTAGGTTCTGAGGAAGGTGTGTGTACACAAATCTTGCTCCTACTCGGATCTAGAACACATAAAGCACACATGTACAAGTTATAGACTAACACTATGTTTGGTTCAAGGAATTCGAGAGAGAAAAGAAAATAAATAAGATGGAAAACCGTTTTTCTTGTTTGGTTAGAACGAAAAAGAAAAGAAAAGTGGAACAAAAAGGAAAATGAGAAGGTTAAATGTATTAAGAGGAGGGAAAACACAATTCCTCCCATTTTGGTGAAGAAAATGAGAGAAAACTATTTTCTTTTCTTTCCGCATTCCTTGAACCAAACATAGTGTAAGGTTAAAATGCACCAGGATAAATGTTGAAAAAACAGTTACATTGTGGCAAATTCAGTAAAGGTTTATTTATAGTTAAGACCAAGGCTTCCAAAGATTTCCCCTTCAAAACCCTCCATTCAAATTGACCCTTAGGATCAACATGTTACTAATATCAAAAGCGGCCTATAAACTTACACTCCGTATTGTTCAGGAGAACAGTTCGATACTATCAAAGAAGTTCTTATATGATTTATCAGTGTTTTAGAAAAAGTGAAATTGTACGGTGGAAGTTTATGCGAAGGATAGAGAAATAATGTAACCACTCATTTCTTTACATAAATGAAATGAGAACTTTTTGGGACATCTAAAAAGGGAAAGCAAGAAGTTTTTTTTAGGGATGGGGGAAGTAATATGCTTGCCACATGCAAGGGAAGGCAAGTGATATAAACAACAAGCAGGTGTTTGTACTTAATGAAAAACAAAAAACAATTATCTGACTGAAAAAGTGGGGACTTAAAAACGACAACGAGCAGAAAAAGGCGAAAAGCCCAGGTAATTCAAAAGGCACACCTTCCACTCGTAGACACAATGAAGTGATCAGGATTCACCAAGAATTTGCATATGTTTTCATGCTTCTTCTTGGTATCCACCAAAAGAACAGCTCTCGCGAAATGTATCCACACTGGACTCAGTAGGATATACACTTGTGGTGAAACACCAGTGTGTCTTTCTATGAAAGCCTGTATTGATGATGGAGATAAACTCCTCTCCAAATTGCCAATTAATATGAAATAGGAGTTTGATTTTTCACCACCCAAATCTATATCTTGATCCTGATGAGAAGATTCGCTATTGCTCAACTTCCCAGCACCTACTTATAAGGAAAAAAGGAAAAAAAAGGATAAAATAAGCTGTGCATGTCATTTGGGCTAACATTAGTACCAGAGAATATTCTAGCAACAAAGCTTTTTTCTCACTGTTACCATAAATTAAGTTCCATTTATTCTGTATGTCCTGCACGATGTAAAGAGGACCGTTAATAAAAACTTTACCGGAATTAAGCAAAAGCCATAGATGCATTTTAATGAAGAAAAAACAAGTTGCCAGATTGAGCTTGTGGAACTTGGAGAAAGCTAACCTGAAACGAAAGATGTTTGTGTTCAGTTAAAAGCTGACTCCATCCTCCTTTAGCAAGTTCTAGACGAGGTGGTACTTCTTTTCCACTGTTCTTGCGAGAAGAAACTGGAAATTTACTTTTCACAATTTGCAAGAACGAAGCAACTTTTGGATCAACTTGGCCATCATCTTTTAAAGTACATACGCAAGAAATGCCGGTACTGGTTAAATGCCCCATTTTTGGACCATGAATCCATGATAGCACAAAAGTGCACTGACATTCTTCTTCACCATTCACATATGAATGGTCCTTGCGCTGCACCTAACAAATGTAATGCAGCATATTTTTTTAATAAACAAGTATAAGATGAACACTTATGAAGCATTTGAGCTCAGATTTTGTATAGTAAAGACATCAGAGAGAAAGGGAAAAACAAAATGAAGTCTAGGCTACACATACAAATATATTTCCGGATTACAGGAGTCATATCTAAAATAATTAGGAAGAAAACATAGTGAAGAGCAGAGTCCTTGTTTTGAATTCTAGTCTGGATCAGATCAACAGTCAACTATGTTTCTGCAGCACATTGATATTAATGATTTACAACAGTTCAGGATAACAGAGACCATTAAACAATGTCTCGTCTACACTTTTGCTGTGAATTGACATGCATGCATACATATATGTGTGTGTGTGTGTACAGACAGATACATACATTTAGACACAAAAGAACCACAATGTGGGGTCTAGAAAGGGTGAGGATATGCAAACCTTACCCCTACATCGAGATGTGAGGGGCTATTTTCAAAAAGTAAAAACACGAAAGAACCCGTTGAGGGAAAAAAAGTTAAGGAAAGAGGAAAAGAGAAACACAAAAGAAACATGTATACACCTAGATACAACAAACTAAAGCATCAAGTCCTACACAAAAGTAGACCACTCCTCAAAGCCTACCCTATGATGCTACTCCTCGACCTTCATGTACTCCAATCTAAGCTCATATCATCACTTCGGTTCTAAAGCCATAAGTCATGTCTAATGACCTCACTCAAACTTCTCTTGAATTTGCCCCCTTCTCACACCCCCACCTCAAGTCTCATGCACCCCATCCGCAGTGCGTCCGTACTTCTCCTTAGCACATGAACAACCATCTCAATTTAGCTTCGTGCAATCTATCATCCACAAAAACAACTCCCATCCTAACACTCCGCATCATAGAACACAGTCATGTCCGGTAAAACTTGCCTTTCAACTTTGTTGATACTCTCTTGTGGCACAATACACTTGAAACAAACTTCTACTTCATCCAAACCGCCTCGATACAGTGAATAACATCTCCATATATCTCACCATCAGCCTACATGATGAAATCAAGGCACCAAAATTTATCCCTTTTTGGTGTCGGTGGCATCTTCTTCCATTATCTGATGAAGCCAAAGATTTACTAAGGGGTAGTGATGGAAATGCTCTCAAATGATTTCTTTCTGCTAAGGAAATAAGATTGAAAAATTTGTACTAATTGCAAAATTATTCCCGGAGAGAGTTTGACCACCCAACATAAAGTGCTCATTATGGATTTTTGTATCCAACGAAAGGTAAGGAGAAGTCGCCAAGAGAGGAACCCAAGGACCAGATGGTGATGAGAAAAGGGATTTCCAACACCGTTTAGTAGAAGAAGAAAAATGGGATGGACATGAAAGTGTGGAAGAGTTATGGTGTGATATGGCAGATACTAAGAGAAAGGTGGTAAAGGAAACTCTTGAAAAACTTAAAGCACTAATGCAAGAGGCGGAGAATCATGATGGTGGGACACTAGTGTGCAAGAGAAGGTAAAGGTAAAGTTGGATCGTTTCAAGGAGTGGTATTTATGTTGTAATGTGGAAAGTTGGAAAAGGTATAAAACGGCTAAGACAGACACAAAAGTGGTTGTTAGTGAAGCAAAAACGGGAGCATATAAAGGGTTTTACAGTCATTGGGTACGGAAGAAGGGGAAAGATGTATTTACAAGATTGCAAAGAGTCGAGAAAGAAGGATGCGGGATTTGGACCAAGTTAAGTGCATTAAAGATAAGAGTGTTGAGGTTTTGGTCTCCGATAAAAGCATAAATGAGCAGTGGAAGAGCTACTTCAATGATCTATTTAATGAGGGGCATGCAAATCTTTCATGCTCTGATCAGCTACACACGAAGCAGGAGAACCAAATTTTCAATTATTATAGGAGAATTTGAGAAATTGAAGTTAAAGAGGCCCTAACATAGATGAAAAATGGCATAGCAGTGGGTCCAGACATCCTGATTGAAGTTTGGAAAGGTTTAGGAGGAAAAGGCATTTTGTGGCTAACTAAGCTTTTAACGAGATTCAAAGATCTAAAAAGATGCTCATCGAATAGAGGAAGAGCATTTTGGTCCCTATTTACAAGAATAAGAGGGATATTCAGAGTTGTGGAAACTATCAAGCCCACGAGTCATACAATGAAGTTGTGGGAAAGAGTGGTTGAATAAACTATCAAGCTCATGAGTCATACGATGAAGTTGTGGGAAAGAGTGGTTGAATGGAGGTTGAGACAAGAGACTTTGGTGTTAGAGAACCAATTTGGTTTTATGCCAAAAAAAACCAACTACACAGGCAGTGAAGAGAATAATGGAGAGGTACCAAAGTGAGAAGAAAGATTTACACATGGCTTTTATGATTGGAAAAGGCATAAAGGCATATGACAGGGTTTGTGGAAGGTTTTAGAGAAAAAGGAGTAAGAATTGTGTATATTTGTTCAATTAAAGACATGTACGATGGTGCTGCAACGAGCGTGAGAAGTCAAAGTAGGGTAACAGGGGATTTCTCATCAGTGTGGGATTACAACAAGGGTCATCGTTAAGCTCATGTCTTTTTACACTAATATTGGACGTTCTTACCGAGCATATCTAAGAACATGTACCATGGTGAATGATTTTTGCCAATGACATCATCTTTATAGGCAAATCACAAGAGAATTTGAATGAGTGAGGCTTAGGCTTTGGAGTTGCATGACTTGCGTATAAATCACATTAAAACAGAGTATATGGAGTGCAAATTTGGCAACGGATGGAGAAATAGAAACATTGAGGTGAAAGTTGGAGAAAGTAATATACCACAAGTAAAGAGATTTAAATATCTTGGGTGTATCATTCAAGATAATGGATAAATAGAGGATGATGTTAACCACATGTGTCAAGCTGGTTGGTCAAAATGGCGGAGTGCTTCGGGCTTTATAAGTGACAAAAAAGTACCTTTAAAACGAAAGGGAAAACTTTATCGTACTGCGAATAGACCAACTACATTGTATGGAACGGAGTGTTGCGCAGGGTGAAAATGAACACAGGGTTAGTGTGGTAGAAATGAAGATGTTTTGTTGGATGAGCGGTCATACACATATGGACAGAATAAGAAATGAAGATACGAGAGCTAAGGTTAGAGTAGTGGCACCTATTGTAGAAAAGATGGTGAGAACTTGTCTTAGATGGTTTGGACATGTGGAGAGAAGACCAATAGTGCATTTAGTGAGAATGGTTGATCAAATGGTGAATGGACATGTGGCTAGAGGGAAGAGGTAGACATAAGAAGACTTGGCAAGAAGTAGTTAAGGGGGTGTTCGCGTGAATGATTTCACAGCAGATAAGATACATGATAGAGCGCAATGGCATCGTTTGATCCATGTAGACGACCCCACGTGGTGGGATAAGACTTTGTTGTTGTTTTGGGCTATTGAAATCATGTAATAAAGCAAAATGGCTCAGGTAAGAAAGGATGTCAACACATCGGATTTTTCTCCCGAAAACCATAAACTACAGCATTTGTAATGTGCCTTTGGAACTAAAAAGCAGAACACTTTGATAATATTACTAAAGGCCTGTTTGGAAATAGCGTTAGCATTTTGGATAGAATTTCAACGGTGCAGATTAGTTTGAAAACGCTAAAGCTAAACACTGCTCGTAGATTGCCTTTTTTTCAAAATGCTAACGCTAAACCCTATGCATTAGATATTTGCAGATTTACAGGATATATCACTCCATAAACCTTTTTCCTCATCAAACGTAAAAAATACAAAAATGTTAAAATTAAACGTGAGATAAAATTTAGCATATAAAAAAAACAAATACAGAAAAAACAAACCAAGAATCTCATATCTAGCACAGAAATGAGGGCGAGGCGGAGAGACTCACGGCTTCAACGACGGCGTCGAAGTAGCGCATGTCGTTGGAGGGGAAGGCGTGGCATGCAGCGCAAACAACGGAACCTCTTCCGATTTTCCCGCACTCGGTGTCCTGAAGCTGCGGCGAAACCGGCCTGAACCTGCGGACGAATCGTTCCACGGCGTCGCGCGAATCGAAATCCGATGGGCGAAATTTGACGATTTCCATGATGCCCTGAAACTGGACCGACAGAGTTTCGCCCTTCAGGTGGACTTTGACGCTGTACCAGGCGTCGTCGTCCGTCGCCCGGAACTCCAGAACCAGCTTCCCCACCATAGCTCACCGGAAAAGCCGACGGAGGAGGGCGGGATGAACGGACGGAAGGACAGCTCAGTGGAGTGTGGGAAAGGCACTTCACAGTTAGCCGAGAATGGACACCTCACTGCGTATTTGGCAACGAAATGTTTGCTGTTTACCTACTCCCTTTTCTTTTCTTTTTACTCGAGTAAATTTTTAAAATGAATTACATTCTCCCACCTTTTTTATTGTCTCATTTTCTTTCAAATTAATTTAAAAAATATATTATTTCTCTTTGTAATAAATGTCAAAAACTATTTCTCCCACCTTGTATTATTCCTCATCAAATGTCAAAAATAAAAAAATGGTAAAATAAAGCGTGAAATAAAATGAGACTTATAAATTTTCTTTCTAATAAACTTATTACTAAGTGAAGAAATATGAAAAGATTTATATTTTTATACTTCATAGTATATTACTCTGCATGATATATATGAATACAACCCGAACCGATACAAACTCGAACCGATACAAACTCGAACCGATATAAACCCGAACTGATATAAACCCGAATCGAAACCGAAAACCAATCAATCCGAAATAAACCTGGAACCGACCCGAACCGATTATAACATATATCCGAAAGAGACCTGAACCGAAAAGACCCGAACCGGAACCGAACCGATTGACCCGATTGCCAAGTCTACTTGCTTGTGCCTATTTAAATCAGATTAGTCTTAACGTATTCACGCATTCACTCAATCAGATTAGAGGAAAAGAACACAACATATTGTTCCTTAACAAGGAAGCTTTTGCTCCCTGAAAAAACTCTATATTTTTCCTTTCAAATTCATAGTCTACTATCGTATGTTTTCTACGGAGTATCATCCATTTGGATAATTGGTTGTGTCAATTTTTTTGTATCAGCCATAACGGCACTAGAATGCTTAACTTTAACTCATAACGACACTGAAAATGGTATGATGTCATGGGGTATTTTGGTATGTTTGGCGCTGTTAGGGAATTAAACACCACCCCTAGGGACGTTACCAAGGCGTCAAGCACGCTGCGTCAAACGTTTAACGAGCAAAAATACAGGGGGCACCATTTCAAACCGCTAAAGAGCCGTTGAGCATTTAAAAAAAAGTTAACCTTATAAATCCATTTTCATTTTTTATAACAAATCACACACAAATCTTCAACTTTCTCTCTTCTTTCTTATAGAAATATTTTTCATCTTTCATTATTTTATACTCTCTTTGTCCAACAATAAACTTCTCAGTTACCATTACGGCCTCTCGTTAACTTAAGTTTGTTTACATATTTTCATCAATTATTTGATAAGATAAAATATTCTTGTCAAATCTTGTTTTGTAGAACTTTTAATGTAGTTTTAAACGATGTAATTTATATTTTTTTATAATATGCCAATTCTTAAATAAATAATTTAAAAAAAGATGGAATTTTGTACGTTGTTCAAAATAGGAAGTTTATTGTTAGATTGAGGGAGTAATTTTTATCATGAATCAATCATCTTGTATTGTGTCTCATGAGTGCTTGATGTGGTTTCACCAAACATCCAGGAATTTTCTGATATTTCCTGAAACGCAAACCCCATTGGTGAATTTGGCGAACCCAAACTCGATTCCGAAAACTCACATGAAACCAAGTGCACCAAAAAAAGTGAATGCCGAAAAAGTCACAAGATGCAAGCAAAGACCAAAAAGTCAATGACCGAGGCAGCACAGTCAACACAAAAATGGACACCCGAGGAAGAAGTTTTGTTGGCATCTGTATGGGTATATATTGTTTTCCTTAAGGTACTGATCAAAAAAGAGATGCTATATGGAATTGTATTAAGGAAAAAAAATTTACCGCAATGAACAAGGACCCCTCTTACCGAATTGAAGTTCAGACCAACTCACTTGCAAATGGAGCTACATAAATAGAAGAGTCTGAAAATTTATCGAAGTGTACGAGAAATGTGCCATGCCCAAGAAAAGCGAATCGAAAGATGCCAATATTCTGAGGTTGATCGTTCAGTATTAAGACGACGGATACCAAGGCAAAGTCCATATTGATTTGTGAAAAGTTTGAAGCCGTTCACCAAAATGGCAACAACTCTACAATTCTTAGATCGGATCGTCAAAGAAAAGGTCTTCCACCGAGATTGACGTGGATGACACTATCGGCTCATCGGAACAAAAGGCCTCCCGTAAACCTAGATGACTCATACAACAAGGACGATTATGGGTGTGGCTCTGTTTCTTCTCACGATGATATTGGCCAACAAATGGTTGAATAAATGCGGTTGTTCAATCTTAATGAAGAAGAGAAGAAGAAATGGAAGATAGAGGGGAAGCTCGAAATAATGGATAAAGACCTTGATACGTTAACAAGATTCAAAAGAATGTATTACAAGAAAAAACAAAAGCAGATCAATGCTAAATATGAGATGGAATGGTGTTTTTTATTAATGTACTCTCTCTGTCCCAATTTATTTTGTCTGTTTCAGTTTACGATGTTTGACTGAAATTATTTTCAAGTTATTTTATATGAAAAATGGTGCATAATTAAAAAATAAAAATTACAAATTAAAATACTACATTAAAAGATCTACAAAACTAGTGGTGACATGACTATTTTATTTATCAAATGACTACCAAAAATGAGAAAAAAGTGAATAAAATTTGACTATGTGAATAATGAACATGCAATTTAGTTTGGGACGGAAGGAGTAGTTGTTTTGTGTTTTTAATTTAATATTATTTCTTTTACTTAATATATTTTTTATTTAATAAATTATTGTGATTTTAATTTAATTAATCAATGAAATCTGACTAATTTACTTTTATAAAATGTATATTAAAAAGTAAAAAGAGAAAGGTTTGAAACCACAATTTAAAACGTGATATTTCCAGTGAAACTGTAATGTAAATTAAAGGTATTAAAATTTACAAAACAGAGAGAAGTTTTGAATTACTGGTATTTCCAATGCTCTAATATTTCAAACTTTTTAACTCGTATTAATTAATATACTCTGTAATTATTTTACATCATTTTATTTATGTTGTTTTAACTTTTAAATGTGTTTAACCAAATTACAAGTATTGCTGTATGGCTATAGAACTTTTTTGTGTTTTGAAAATTGCTTCAATATCATTACTAATCAAATCCATAAACAAGACACAATCAAAAGTCACAACTATTCATAGGACGACACCTCTTTATTGGGCAATGATGACAAAGGAGAATACACTGAGACAGAGATGGTACCATAAAGATCCATCCATATACCAAATTACCAACACTAACATGAGAGTATTGACATACTAATAATTGCTGTGAAGTTAAAAGGGAAATGGGGCACTCTTATTTGAAAAGGTTCTTCAGACCATTAAAAATCTGAAAGGCCCTTAGTTCACCACTCCTTATGTCCCTCAACTTTCTCCTCAATATCTGCAGAAATACAAATGACCAAATTAAGAATAACTGTACCAGTCTTATTACTTATTTATTTACGAAATCGAAGAAGAACTAAATAATCAAGACGATAAGATTAGGGTATGGTACATTTTCTAGTTCTAGACACGGCAAGTTTTACTGGTACCATTTGTTCCCCAGATGGATCCTAGTTGGATATATGAGCTAACGCGGCATAGGTTTACATGTAGACTTACATATTGTGCCCGGTATAGTATCCTCCTTTCACTTGTGCACAAATCCATTGCAAGCTGTTTGAGAAATACCCTTCTATTAAGTTGCTGTGGATTGGTTACATCCAGATCCATTTCGCCATTCGCCTTTGAACAGGTAGAATGGAAAGCTCAGTCAGTGGAGTGTAAACTAAAATGCATTGCCTTAGGCTACAGCCACACACTCACACCACGGATGACACCAAGGTTGACACCACGAGTTACTACTTTAACTACTCACATAGATTGCAGACTGTCTATTGTCTCGGTGGCAACATTGGTATCATCCGTGAGGTTAAAGTAGCACTTTTCAAATGCATTAGCGCATTTCGAAAGGATGGGAAACTCTCATGAAAGATTTTGTTTCCACACAATTAATTAACTTCTCACTCCATTCCATAAAAGAGTTGTATTTCAAACACTATAAAAGTGTAATTTGATCAAACGGAGTTAATTTTTGTGTAACTTGCCAAAAAAAGAGCACAAAGCAAGTTAAAATGTAAAATGTAGTTTATCTAACAGATACTTTTTTAAAAGAAAAAACTCTGTATAGCAATGGAAGATAGTGGGTTCGTACCTGAAGGAATTTGGAGTACTTTGATATGGCAGACTCACAGCAATCTAGAATATACTGTAATGCATCCTCCTCTATTTCAGAATACCGGATCATACCCTTCTTGGATGATGGAGTCCTATTTGATGCAGCAGCAGCCATCTGGAATAACTCTCATTTCAAAGTAATCTCATAATCCAACAATAACTTATTACTTGCATGATTATTAAATCTATCATACCTCTTCGAATTTTCTATTCATCTTCGGGGGGCTGACTGCTAGATAAGCATAAGCCATCAACTCCTTTGGCCACCCAGTAATTTGTACAGGATATCTTTCTGATCTATTAGAAATACATAAAATTTGCAACTTGTGCTTTTTATTATTATTTTTAAAAATAATAATCAGAAACGCTAGTCAAATATAACGCTAGTCACTGCCAATCAGATACTCACGTGGATAACCCGTGCTTTTGCAAAATTTCTAATTTCTCCTTGTAACATTTGTCAGACTTGTTAATCGACACTGACAATTCAACTGAATCATTGGGATTGGTGCCTTCTCTAGGGACAAATCCATACGAAAGCAACAGCTCTCCATTAGACTTCTTTCCATATGATATAAAAACCTGCACTTCTAAACCAAACCCAACTGATCAGATGAATAAAATAAAGTGAATGTGAATGTTCCATGTAAAAGTTTCTTCATTTGGTAAGGATCATCATGGATGAAGTGTCTTATCATGCTGAATTTGTCACAGAAATGACTTGATTGTTGAATACTCGAATCTATTAAATTATCATTAAAAATATAAAAATGTATATTTAAATAAATCAGGGAAAATATTTTTAAAAAACATAGAAAATAATATCAACCAATTCATTTGTGTCATCCAAAAAAGAAACACTTCCACAGTTCCACTACTCTGTTCATTACGAGCCAATTCAGCCATACATTGTAACAAGTTAGAGTTTGGTGAAAAACTGGATGATAAGGTTGATAAGCCAAAGCTAGTAAATTACTGACTGGTGAAGAATTAAACTAATAATAGTGACAAGAATGAGAGAACTGAGTACCTGTTCATCTGGCTGATATGCCCTATCAGTTTTGAACACAATGCCTTGTGATGATTCATCATAATCCAGAAAAGTTTCCACCTTAACAAATTAAAAGAATTTAAAAGACATACGGAGTAAGAATTAGGTTTATAACAACATCCTCACATACCTCACAACTATGGTTCAACATGTCTGCCCAAGGAACCAATGCAACCCTTCCATTCATTGAGGGCAAACGGACCTGCAATTAAGAAATCTTTTTTTTAGGTAAACTCACAGCTTTAGAAATTAACCAATCAGAGCATTCCAAGTTAAATTCTCACCAAACGTGAAAAGAGGATGCCGAACGACCATTTAAAGGTATCCATATTGAATAGCTGCAATGTGACAGAACTTGAAGCATTACCGAACTAATCTCATACTCCCTCCGCCCAAGGCATTTTCCATCTTTCCATTTTTTCCATACCAAATTTGTTAGTCATATTTTTTCCTTCTAAATAAACTTCAACCACACACTTCTGTTCAACCCTAGTTTTAATTAAAAAACTGTCTACATCCAACAATGGACTTCCCTACAATAGGTGGTGATTGGTGAATCTGAGTAGGCATAGGCGACTCCTCTAATGGCTTGACAAGAGAAGAACAACGATGACCGATGAAACAAAACGGTTCCATGGATGGTCTGGTGCATGGACGAAAAATCTTCTGTATAAACAGATACTTTTCTGATATTGACATTATATAGCATGTCCGAAATCCATAGATAGAATAAACTGATGCTTCCATCCAACAAATTCAAATAAACCCAAAAACAAAACATTGAGCAAGTAACGTGACTTGAATTTTAAATAAATAATGGTTGATATCAATAACATCAATATTAGCAAAAAATAAAAGGAACTATGAAAATATCGAGAATTTTGATTGATACTCCGCATCAATCATATCGAGATGTTCAAAATGGAATATCATATAAAAATGAAGTGATATCAGCATGGTTTAATCTATGTCTTCGTTAATATCATAAATATTTTGAACCCTATGAGAAGATATTTTTATGTTTTAAATTTTCAATCAGTACCAATATCAATATTTACATGCATTATTAATATATTTACCAATACCCATATTTTCATCCTTGATCTGGTGGGAACAAGAAGAGTTTCCATGACAGGTGATGCTTCAGACTAAAAAATATGAACATCAGATATAGGAAAGGGCAAGACCTAAGAGACACTCTTCATTTGAATTGGTGTATTAAAAGATCACATATCTTTAAAGACTGGTGACATCAGCAAAGATATAAAAAGGTTTGCAGAAGATGAAAAACACTGATGTCCCTTCAGTCAGCAGTGAGAAATGTAGGATAATGGACCTCTTAAAACAGTATTCTCTGTCAAACTTTTATTCAGGACATTAAGACATTGACAAGTCCATATTGATTAATCTTTGGGAGTAAAACCATCAATTTGACTTTGTTGCATGATTGGGTAAGAGGCCCATCGAGAACCGTTGAACATGTGATTAAGTGAATTATTTTGCTCTTCTTATTGACAAAAACACCTAATTATAAATCATTCATGTTGTAGGAGGCATTGAGGAGCATTTATAAGTTCTCAACTAATGATGCTTTGGTAGCTTGATCAATAACTACACCAAAACAGACTGCAAGTACTGACATTGTCAAACAGGCAAAAATTGACACCCCATTAACAACCACCAATCTCCAAAATCACCCAGACCATCCATCGGTCCCACAGTGTATCAGTAAAATTAGACAGAAAACAAGATGTTTCCAATGGAAGTGTAAGTTGTAACCATGGTATGCATAGTACCTCTTCAGGAAATAACTCTGGATGTTTAGAAAATATTCTGAGCCTCAAGTCATTGTACCTACAGGGAAAGGGAAATAAATCAGAAAATATATTAGTCGTTACCAGAGAATCACGATATACACCAGAAACCTTTGTGTTCAGTAAGGACTTTGTAAGGGTCCATTTGTAACTCAAAAAATGTTAGCAAAACACATAGGGAGAAAATAAGGAGGATGTCAGTAGGCGGGAAATGTTCGGGGAAGAAAAGAATATATCAATTTCAGAAATTTGTTCAAACTCATTTTATTCAAACATCAGTATAATATGTAAAACTAAGAAATCTAAATAAATGTACAAATTTAAAAGGTTTTAATAAAATTTGATTTTCCTTTGTTATCCCCAAGGCAAAATCAAACATAAAAAAACATTTCAATTAGTATTTTTTTCTCTTCCCCTATCACTTAAGGAGTTCCAAACATAGCCTAAACGTTCAACGAAAGAGGCCATACGTTCCAACGACACCATTCACTCTTTCAATTGCTCTCTCCCTTATTTGTGATGCTTCAAGATATCTGTCAAGCTCTGAACGGGTCCTGAAATGATATACAGCAGCTGTAGAGAGAACCAACTGAGAACTTACTCCTGAACCTCTGAAATCAAAATGATTTTTTTCTCGGGATCATAGGCTACAGATTTACAACAGAAAAGCGACGTGTTTACCAGTATAAAAGCGAGTAGGGCTGTCTAGGCAAGGCAGAGATATAGTTATTCCATCTTGAAGACTTCATCAGGCTTGCCTCACTGATCAAATATGTTGCTATCAACGGCCAATCTGGCACACCATAACTTTTTAACACTCTGCCAGCTTCGGGGACACTCCACTCCTAACATCAAACCAAGTAAAACGAAAATTTTAAATGATATCCTCCCTTTCATTTGAAATCAAATCATGCAAATATATAGCCCCCAAATTCCAATTGAATGGAGGAATGTTCACTAGGCTGCATAAATCCAATTCAGTAAACAATCAAAACAAGGAATTCCGAGATAGTATTCCTCAATTCAAGTCACAATACATTAAAAAAATGGAACAAGAGGATATAATTGAGCGATAAAAGTACCGAATCGGGGGTAATGACGAGGGAGGGAGGCACGAAGAGCAGCTTCTCTCCCTTCCTGATGCCTTTGAGAGCAACGAGGCCTCTCTCGCCAACATCCACTCTCCGTATGGCCATTTTCTGGGGAGGAAGACCAGAATCCAACAGCCATTTCTGGAAAGCAGAGGCGTTCTCGAGCGAATAGGTATCACAGCCCCAAGGGAGGGCCTGGAGCTTCGAGCAACGCGCGGTAGGGCTTCTTCTGAAGAATGCGCGAAATGTGAGAACAGAATGGGTTCCATGGGAGAAAGGAGAGAAAAGTGTGGGCTGGAGAATGGTAGAAGCTTCGGGCATGGCTGGAGATGGGGGGGCGAAATTAGAGAAAGGATGAAATAAAGAACACCCGCCTTACTTAACTAACCTTATCTAGACTTGCCTCAAAATTGTCAAAACTTTTCAGAGACATTTTCGATTAGCGTTAACGATTTGAATAAAATTTTAACGGTGCAGATTAATTTGGAAAATGCTAACGTTAAATATTACTGTCGGAGAGTCTTTTCAAAACAATAACGCTAATATCTAACGTTGATTCCAAACGGGATCGAAATTGTAGAATTGTTCTTCTTAGTATTGGTTCACAGGAAAAATATGGACTTCTCACAATTTTTTTGAACTGGCTAGTGATTTTTTTTAGATAAGGGTTAATTCTTTTACAATATCAAAACACTAAGTTTCATAATACGAGTATGGATCTTAGGATCACAAACGATTTTGCTAAAATTGTATGACGAAGTACATATTAATCTAATAAAATAAAGTTTTGCATCAAATTAAACAAAATTCAAATATTAATTATTAAAAATTGTATTACAAGTACATATTATATAATAATCTAATAAAGTAAATTTTTAATTTTTTTTACAAAAAAAGTTTATTGAAGTCATTTTAGTGCTAATCTATAATCTCTCTTGGAACTAGTACTTCTCAAGGTTGTTTTTAATGGTTTTATGAAGTTTAAATAAGGTTAGAATTTGATGCGAAGTATTTACGAATATCATCTCTTTCAAATTGGTTATTTAGACACTTCGTGTTTTCTAAATTTGAGATATATCAATATGATATATCTATCAACAGCCTTCAGCTCGCCACCCGTTTTGTTACTATCAACCACCGTTACAAATTTTTTCAAATATTTTATTTCAAAATTCATATCATATCAATCAACGCTCGCTAAGCATATAACATGTTTACTATATGAAATATTGGAAGGGCAATCTAATTACTAAGAAAACTTCATTTGACACCAAAGTCAAACACAGACACTTAAAGACGCTTTGGCACAAACAATGAGCATCTTTGTTTGCATTTAGTTCTCCCTCCGTCCTAAAACTTTCTTCTCAGAGCACTCTTCCAACTTCACGGGAATTTATATTTATTTGTGTTTTTTCATGGCTTATATGATAAAATAAAATATTCTTGTCATCACTTGTTTTGTTGAACTTTTGATGTATTTTTTAAATATGTATGTTTTATTTTTTATTTCTATACCAATATTTAAATAAAATAGATTGCAAAAACTTGTGATTTTTCTTTGTTTTGCGCAACAGGAAGAAAGTTTTAGGACGGAGGGAGTATTAAAAGTGATGTTACAAACGGGTTTCTCCAAATTTTCTCCAACCAAATAGTGTTGTGTTTTGAAACATAGACACGGTGCCACAAATTTAAAAGTCACCACAACAGCAACGGATTAAATTAATTAATATGGACTAAACTATTCTTTTTTTAATGAAAAGACTAATTTAAAACATTCAAAAAAGAAAATTGAAAAGATGAAAAGGAACATAAAAATACTACTACCTATGTTCCTGAGCATTTGTTTAATTTTGATTTTTTTATCAACAATTTTCAACCTTTGACCCATAATTAAATGAAATATATATTTTATATAAATTAAATAAAATAATATTTTGAAAACATTTCATATAATAAATCTAATAAAACTACGGAGTATTTGTGTATCAATATCTAATATTATTTTTATTTAATTTGAAGTCAAAGTTTACTAAATTTGATTGAAAAAAGTCAAAAGTAGATAAATACTCAGAGATAAAGGGAGTACATAATATGATAATACTACGTGTTTAACAAGTGCTCTGTAAAAAGAAAGATATTATTCATATGAGTCAAGATTATTATTGCATTGCAAAATAAAATCGTTTTGCAAGTTCTACCTTTGGGCAGGGGGTAAGATACATACAAAGAAGCTGCCTCAAAACACACACAGCACAATTTATAGAGCCTACTATAGCAAGAACAAGATGACAAATATCGTTGCGGTTCTTTTTGACACCGGTTTTTGGTGTCATATTATGACTCTGGGGGCAAGATGGGGTTGGGGGTAATACCCCACTTTGGAGCCCAACGGAGCACCATAGGGCTCTCAAATGGCCGGTGTGGTGATGGTGTCAAGAGAACCTAGCCCAACAAATATTACCTCATTTGTACAAATTATTGAGCTCTTCTTTAAAGCGGTCCTTGATGGGTTCCCTCTTTAGTTTAAAGGCAGCTGTGACCAGACCAGATTCGGGAGTCCAAGGCTCCTGTATTAGCTTTATCTTCGCTGGAACCTCAAACTTGTCCAATCTTGCTTCTTTGGCTGCCTGTAATGTTATATCAAAGCACATTACCAAGCACTTCTATTGCACCATAATACCCGACTACAACGGGTGGTTCTATCATGCACCTAATAAGTTGCACTGTGGGCCTTCTTGCATAACCAAATTAATAAATAAAAATTGCACGTCGTTAAAATAAGTTATTGCTTATATGAGAGTATCCATGATTTCTTAAATGGACCTTAGGTTCATATATGAGTTAATTAATTAAAACAGGGGTGTCGGGTAGTGAATGGTGTCATTTGTTTTTGGACAGGCTTGCTTGGAATTTTGGATGTGCTTCTGTTAAAATTGATGGTAAGAAAAAGTAATCTTGTTAAATGCAGATAGAAAACATTTACAAGAAAGAAACGAGAGAATATAGTGATCGGATGCTGCCGTACCAGTCCCCCCCCCACCCCTGCCCCAAATAAAAAGAAGCAGATTTGCACTTTTCAGAAAAGGACCATACTACAATTACACCAAAAAATATACCTCATTTGTACACCACAGGCTTGCACAAACATTTCGATGGTTTACACCGACACAAGTGTTGGTGCGTTAATAAATATTCACACGGACACAAATGTTGGTGCGTTTAACAAAAATTAGTTTTACACCAACACAAAGTGTTGGTACAAAACTGCGGGGTACAAATTGGGGTACAAACCTTGGGGTACACATAGCATAATCCTTCAGAAAAACACTGAGAGTTAAATGCTTAAATGTGAAATCACGTAAGTTGTCCTGATTCCCAAACAACCTATAATGTTTGGCACCAAAATCGCTAACACTATGTTTGTTTCAAATAATTAGAGAGAAAAAGGAAAAGAAGATGAGATCGAAAGCAATTTTCCATGTTTGGTTAGAGAGGAAAAAGAAAAGTGGAAGGAAAAGAAAATGAGAAAAAAAAGGCTAAGAAGGAAAAATGGATTCCTTCCATTTTGGTAGAAAAAGGGGAGAAATCGTTTGCTTTTCTTTTCCTTGAACCAAACATAGGGTAAGCGTTTTTTTATGGAAATTCCAGAAGAAATATTTATCTCAAACCTGTGATAACGAACCAAACATAGGGTAAGTGTTTTTTACGGAAATTCCAAAAGAAATATTTATCTCAAACCTGTGATAGTGAACGCTGAACCTCTGTGACGGCTTCCTTTTTGTCACACAACTCGTGAAACTCTTTGAACTCTATTCTGGTTTCATGTGCCCAGTTCTTAAGGATGTCACGATTAGGGACAACTAAAGCTACACAATAATTGTGAAAGGGGTCTGCATACACCATTATGTTATCCACATACTTGCTTGATGCAAGTGCTGCCTCTACCTGTAATTAAGAATCACGTTATCTCTTATTAGTCACTGCCTCCTCTATGGATCAAGAATAGAATTAAAAGAAAGAGGACCCTAGGAGAGCAATATGAAAAGCAAATCTATCAGTAAATGAAAATACAAGATTGGGCTGTGGTGGTGGTGGTGTATTATATGGAATTACTGGCACGTTGTAAGTAGTCTAAAATCTATAAAAGTTAATATTCATATGAAGTCCATAGTTTTTTATACGGAGTAATCCAGTAAAAAGTAATAAGAAGACACCGATCCATTTGGGGTCCCTTAGGTGTCCATTGGGCCCTGGACCGCCACTCCCTAACCCACTCACAAACCCCCCACCCCCATACCGTTCGCCAAAATCCTACGGTGTTAGTGACTTAGTGTGTTACTATAACATTTCGAAAAGATGCACAGGGCAGGGAGCTTGTGGGGTGGGTTGGGGGGAAAGACCCGCGCACCAGTGTCATATTATGACACCAAAATTTGGGAGGAATGCTAAAGTCACAAATGACAAAATGCACAAGCTTGCCATTTGTGAATTTAAATTTCCACTTTTTAATTATTTGAGACCATTTTACTTCTTTAGTGAGTTCACAAAGGGCAAGTTTGTGCATTTTGTAACTTTTTTGTTTGTGACTTTAACATTTCTCAAAATTTGGTGTCAAAAGAACTGCAGTGAAAAAATAAAATCTAAAAGACAAGATATTACTAAAAACATACAAGTCTATGAACTTTTGTAATGAGTTATGACTTATGAGTCCATGGACATTTGAAAAAGTCAGTCATTAAAAAATCCACAGAAATCAAAATACAACACAAATAAGAGGAAAGGAGAACCCACACAAGAAAACGAGACATAACTTCCCCTCCTCCAATCACCCAATGGCCAAAATACTGTAAAATAGAACAGGCTGTTGCATGTATGATTTATTTTTATGATTCATCGTGATGCATTGGAACTTCTAGAGGGGTTTTTAGTTACCGAGTATTACGTCTTCCATGCTCTGTCCCACAAAGATATTTCATTTTGGTCCACCCACAAAGATTGTTCAGTTTTTTCATTGGGGATGTACTAATTGTTTCATTTCCAGGTTTACCCCTACTGAATCACAAAAGTACAACTATATATTACTCCTAGCCTACTGCATTAAAATTAAATTCCTTTGCAAATGGTAAAAAAGAAAATTGTATATGAGTTAATAGTACAATTGACTTAGCAATCAATTCTTAATTCGTAAGCATAAATATAATGGAGTGTCTCTATGGGAAAGATGGGACATAATATCAAATAAAAGGAAAAAAAGAGGAGAAAATTTGCATCTATACCTTTCCAAGGGAAATGTACTCCCCATGTTGAAGTTTCACAATGTCCTTTTTTCTATCAATAATTTCAAGGCACCCATCAGAATGAAACCTTCCAATGTCACCAGTGTAAAACCACCGCATGCCCCTCTCATCAACCTGGGCGTATGAGTTTCGCCTTAAATCCCCAATCAAGAAATCATAGTACTTCCTGTGGGCTCCACTAGATTAGAAAGTGTGTACTTACTTTGAACACCTCATTGGTTTTCACATCATTATTGAAGTAACCAGCAGTAACACTGCATCCACCAATAACAACTTCTCCTCGAGGCATTGGCTTGTCAGTTATTCTGTAACCACCTTCTTCCCAAGAAATAAGCTGCAATGTTGAATCGAGAAAATTGATACAAAAGCAGTTGGCAAAAATATGTCCAATTTTCTAGAGTTTGAATTTATCCCCAAAGGGACCTTTCCAGCTAAATAGTCGGACAAACTAAAATTCTATTCTTGAGAGATTTTTTGGTCATTCTAATGGTTTCATTGCTTCGAATCAATAAATAACTCAAAGCTAATTTGAATGGGTAGCTTAAGTAGTTTCAACCCATGACTAAAAAGTCTCTGAGGTCACTTGACTCGCTTGATTTTCAAAAGGGCCGGTGTAAGTTTACCTGCTCATTAACGTTTTCCATGGGATTCATCGGTCAAAATGGCCCATAAACCGACAATAATAAAAAAACAAAATCACTAAAAGTCTACCAAATGTTGTGCAGGTACATTTTGAGTTGTGAGGAAGCATACCACGATGTGACTTATTCACTTTTACTAGTGTAACAAAGGAGTTGAATCTAAAGCAGAATGATCATGGATTTTACTGTCTTCAGTCTTGACAACAGGACATATCGACATACACTAAAGTTTGGAGACATCATATAACAAATGAATATACTCTTATCCACATGAATGCAAATAGGAAACAGATAAAATGCAATTTTTTGATAGTACCATATCCACAACTCAATATGTAGAGCACTTGAGTTATCAGATACTCCCTCCGTCCCATAAAAAGGTACCGAATTTCCTTTTTCTGCCGTCCCAAAAAAAAGTTTTCCACTTTTGGAAAAATTTTTGTGGCCCTTATAATTTTTCTCTCCTCTGCATCACTTTAACCACATAATTTTAATTTTCTTAATCTCCGTGCTAAGTCAAAGGTGGAACCTCTTTATGGGATGGAGGGAGTAATTCTTTTTTTTGGTAACCTGAGTTATCAGACAAATCATGATTATAGCATGCAGTCTTAGATGAATCCTATACACTCCATTCAAAAAGGCACCATTTGTACTGTATATTTAAAAACTAGATTGTTTCCTAGTCATTGAGAAGTCACCATACCTTGATATAGGCACACGGAAGTGGTGGGCCAACACGACCAACAGAAGCATCATCCCACTCAGAGAAAGCAGCTCCAGCAAAGGTTTCTGTCAAGCCATAACCTTGGCCAATTGGAGCTCTGTTAAACCAATTTACTACCATCAATTCTAACCATAAGACATGCTCAGGAAGCAGGAAACAATCAGAAGTCTAATTCTTTAAGTTCTATTTTTGTTAAAGAAAAGAATACACCGGGGAAACTAGGGGTGGGCATGGACGAGTGGTGCAGTGCAATTGGGGGCACTGCACATATGCAGTTTTTCACTTTTCGTATTTATGAGCCTGCATGGCTCCACTAATTGTCGAAACTGCACTGCACCGCACCACTGTTTTGGCTTGCAATTTGCAGTTTAGTAAAACAAATACTCCTATTATTCTTATTTATCATTCGAGCTATCAATGAGCCTCGAGGTGCTGCCAAGGAACTGAGGGAAACTCTATTGAGCCAGATATGGCAATGGTAAATTTAAAGAATAAAAAACTTGAAGTAAATACGTCAATGAGTATAGTATAAATCTGAACTTAAACTACCTAACCGCAATGTCCAAATTACAAATTGCATAATTTAGAATAAAGTTGAAGCTACTCTCTATAATATATTAAATGTTGACATGTGAAAGGGAAGCAGGAATCCACTTTTTTTATACACAATGATAGTATAATACAAAGAAATGGAAGCAAACGTGCAACAAGCTACACTGCTAGCCCTTTTTGAATAGCAAGACTAAGTCTTTTGAAATAAAGATAAGATTATTAGAAATAAAGGTACAAGGCAGTGCAGTTTCCACATGTAAAAACACAAGACCGCACCACACTACCAAGAATGCGGATTTAAAAAAACTCCGCATCACAACACTTGGGGTGCAATACAATGCTTGTGGTGTGGTTTTTCCTATTTTTTGGTTCAGCACATGTTTGGCCACATCTAGGAAAAACATAAAAATAAACATACCCCATGCAGATGTTAATGAATCTTTGTGCATCTTCTGACAAAGGAGCTCCACCACAAAGCATGAAACGAATTTTGCCCCCAAGTAATGATCGAATCTTTTTGAAAATGAGAACGTCCCACAATAGAGCTTCTAGGCCCCATGCACCAAACCAGCTTCCTTCTATAGCTTTGAGTCGGCGTTTAAAGGCAATGTTGAAAATGAATTTAACATAACCTCCCTTCTCCTCGACCTACTCCAGCAAAACAGAAAAAAGAAAAGAAAAGAAAACCCAATCTAAGTATTAATCTTTTTAAAATCCAGAACAAAGGTTAAACCGCCACTGGCCTCTGCACATAAGAAACTTAAATGTAGATCCTGTTAAAACCTTCTTTGCGACTCCATCTTTAACACGATCCAGAATGGCAGGAACAGATGCCATTAGAGTAGGTTTTAACACAGTAGCATCTCCTTGTGTTCCTTTCTTGATTTTACTGGATGTGTCTGTTAATGTCAATGCTGAACCATAACCAATCGAAGCACCAGCAGTCATCATAACAGTCTGCACCAGAATGGGAACACGACAACTTGTATAGCCAATTCGCCATAGTATGCAATCCGATATCAAGAAAGGATACTTTATGTAAAGTGTTACCTCAGCAGCCAATTCAAAAACGTGAGCTAGCGGCAAGTATGCCACATAGACATCCTTGGTTCCAAGGTTTGGGACCACAGTCATAACTGCAGCGGCTGTAGCTACAATGTTTCCGTGAGTAATCATAACACCCTGTCTTGCAAAAAACCACTCAGTTAAGCATATAAAGCATCTCTTATTCTCTTTTGCTGGAGAAAGAGAGGGGGGGGGGGAGAGAAGGTTAAAAGTACTTGATATAAGCTTACATGCACTGAGAGAAATCAGGATATAAAGGAACATGGAAATGAATAAACAAAAAAATTGGGCTTTACTAGAAACTTATGGCGTGCCTGACTTCTCATATTGTATTACAACTTCAAACAAGCCTTAAGCATCACTTTCTTGAAGATTCCTTTTGTATCACTTAAGAAATGATGTGATTTCAAATTTTGGTAAGTCATTGACCTGACATAATTTGGATTTCAACTAGAAGGGTCATAATGTCCATAATCATGCAGCTTGACATAAACTTCAAAGTTCAAACTCATTAAGGAAAAACAAAATCTAAGTCTTGTTAAAGATTGTTGCGTGCCTGTCTACTCCATATATTACAACTTTAAATTAGCACATTTTGTGTCATAGAGAACATAAACAGTAATAGCCATGTTTAATTTACACAAGAAATAAAGTCTCAAACCTTAGGCAATCCAGTACTTCCACTTGTATACATGATGACAGCAATATCGGTCTTGATAGGCAGTATATGCCTAGCAGGATCATTTTTACCCAAGTTTTCAACTTCAGAGAAAGAAGACACTTTCCAATCACCAGTTGGCTTAGAAACATTAGAGTCACTTGCAGTCTCATCACCTTCAAAATAAATTACGTTCCTGATGGTTTTTAATCTAGAACTAATTGGAGCTAACTTTTTCAGTTGCTTGGGATCACAGATCAATGTCGAAGCTTTAGTCTGTCAAAAGTAAAGACCATTAAACAAAGAAAAAGAACTCAATACAAATATGAATTCTTTCCATGTGGAAAAAGAATATCTACCCACCTCGTTTAAAGAATGTACAAGAGCATCATCTCCTAGAGAAGCATAAATCGTAACAACTGTGATACTTTGCCTGAAGCATCCCTGGAGATGCAGCAAAAAAACACAACCATTTTTCAATACATTTGAAACCCAAGGAAGACAGGGCTGTATAAATTGCAGTTAAGCAGGCTACCTGAAAGGCAATGAACCACTCAGCCCGAGTTTCAGAGAAAATAGCTATGCGTTTACCTACATCATGACCCAATCTAACAAGACCAGATGCGAAGTTGGAAACACGGTCAAATATCTGACTATAACTTTCCCACTGGTACTCTCCCAAGTGAAGCTTCTCAAACTTCCTCCCATCCCTCGCAGATACAATTTCCCTACCGATTACTTTCCTTGTTCCAAGGAAACGTTCGCCGGAATGCTTTAGACAGGACTGCTCGAATAGAGCAGCCACAGTAGTGGCCCTTTCCCAAGGTACATCCACCAATCCGGTATATTTAGCATTACGAATCGCAACCCCTTCCTCACCACCCACTTCAACAGGAACTCCTCTCTTTCTCGCTTTCTTCTTCTCTGTAAACGCCATCGAAAGTAAAACGGGCATAACCATTGCAACAAGAACTGCAAATAGTTTAACAATAACTCCACTTGTCTCGATCATAGTTGTATCCGGTATCCTTCCGAAAGATCTTTCTGTTTTTTGTAATCCAAATCGATCTCCTTTTACTGAATGAGCACCACAATTTGATATGCTTCAACGCCAAATCAAAATCAAACTAGCATCAACACAAAAATTAACCATTTGATCGTGAATCTTTCTAAGAACAAATCCGAAACAGTTCTATCAGCAATCCTAACAAATTCAAAAGGCATCCGAAACAGTGGAAATTGACGCACTGTAAGCGGCAATCATTACAAATTCAAAAGGCATCAAAACAATCGCGCTAAATTACTCACCGCAGAATACGCGATCGAGATCAAACTAGAAGATTCGCGATAAAAATGTACATGTATATGGAGAATGGATTGGTAGCGGTGTTCTAAATTGCCGTTGCTCTTATTAACGGAATGTGTACGCAACTGTACATATTTATTTGCTATGGAGTATTAAATTTAAAAAGTGTACCCCATTTGTCATCCATTTTTTTCTTTACCATTCATTTTTATTTTATTTTTATTTATTTATTTATTTTAGTCTTTTGCCCATTTATGTGGACAAGGAGTGGGTGGGGGACAAATGGGGGTTCCTAGCATTTTTCATTAAAAAGATAGGATGACCCTCTTATCTAGTGGGTGTTTCGATTGAAAAATTATTTGTTCATTTTCTACTTTTAGAAATCACCTTAAATAGGATTGAAATATAAAAAAAGTATCAAAATAGGATTTTTGTGTCTTTATTCCCGAAATAAAAATCTGCACTATGGTAATGTGGAAGTAATGTAAATGCATTTTAACTCCTATTTCGAGAATAAAAACATGGAAGTCCTATTTTGATATATTTTTAATATTTTACTCCTACTTTAATCTTTTTCTCTTCGACTTAACCCTCCCAGTAAATCCCTTACCCCGTCCCTAGTCGAACCGACTTCCCCCCACATCCTCTAATTACACTCCACAAAATTTAATTAATTTTGAAGTAAATTTGACTTCAAAGTCAACTAAAATTTGTGAGAGTCATTGAAGGAGGTAGGAGAGTCACTTCGGGCCGAGCTAGAGTAAGAAGTTTATCAAAAGGGGTTAAGAATGGTAAAAATCATCAATTTTCGAACGAAGCATCTCATGTGCTCCAAGCAATGCTAATGTCATAGGATGACATGTGAAACTAATATCACCCGAACCACCTCATAAGAAAAATGAATTATCCCATATTTATTTATTGGTAATATAAAAAGGTAATCCACACTTGAGAAAAATGAATATACACTAGAGGCTATAGTTGAGACTTTGAGCGTTTGACAATTAAATTTGGGAAAAGAATCCAATTCAAAACTTCATTTCAAATCAGACATATACAAATTTTTTCTCGTATTAAAATACTTAGAATGCAATTTACCACCTCAGAATTCTGTTGGACCGGAGTGTGGGGTGTCCAGGGCGGGTGTTCCACCTTTAAAATACATGAATGGATATATATTTGATCTTGAACCAGAGTTTAATTATTCTAGGCTATGTGGTATATTTTTAATAGTTGTTTGAATTAAAAAAATTAAGCTAAAAATAATAAAAATTTACTAAATTAATATTTAATTTGAGCATTTCAGTGAAACTAAAATAAGAAATACATATAATACTAGCATGTCTAAAATACGAAACTAAAAGTGTGTAAAATAATACATAATAAAAATAAACATAATAGTAAAAAATCTAAACATCTATGCTTGAACCATCACCCGCCAGACCTCCAAGCCACTTCCAAGATATCTTATCTTTCATCCTCATCACCACCACACGCTCCGTTGGACCAAGATTATCAACGCCGGTGGTCATGATTTTGAATGCAAGCTCTTTTTGCTCTAAGTGTTGGTGTTTGAGTACAAGTTGTTCTGCTTTTGCTTTGCATTTTTGCTCAAGGCTCTCCGCTCTCGCTTTATGTTTTCCCTTCCTTTTTAATTTTTTGGAGGTTGTGTATCGGCCTCAACCTCATTGATATCGTCATCAATATCAAAAGGGACATCGTTTGTGGGAGAAGTCGCATGCGGTAGCGGTGTGCTTGCAGCACCCTGAAAACCGGCTTAGTAGTTAGCCATTATTTTAAGAAAAAATAAATATAATATATTTTCTGGCTTGAAAATATAAACTACTTAAAAAATCAACCTTTTTATTTAAAATTTGACTCATTGCATAGATCTCGTGAAAAGGTGGCCAACATTATATAGTTTGTTCAATTTGAACTTACGTGTAAAAAGTTATGTACGAAAAAAATGTTACTGTTGAATAAATAAAGAAATATTTGCACTAAATAGCACTAAAACTTAAGTCATTTCCCTAAATAGCACTTAAACTGTTTTATTCTCTAAATAACACTTATAATGTCCATAATGTCCAGTGATGGCGAAATTTTGCTTAAATAATGACTAATGCATAATGACTAAAAGTGCTACATTGGGAAGAAAAACATATGTAGTGCTATTTAGGGAAAGTCATTACGTTTTAGTGCTATTTAGGTAAATTTCTCATAAATAAATATAAAGATTTTACAATTCAAATTTCACTCATTGAGTATTATTATCATTATACGGGTGCTGCAATACAGAGCATTGACGTTATGCAAGATAGAGAGGCACTTGGATGTTTGACACTACATAGCCGGCAACATTGTCCACCAATTTCTTCGTCGTAGTTAATTTTCGTCTAATAATCGTGGTGATTTCGTGAGTATGTTCCAACGTAGAATTCATAGATAACGTTAATTTGTATACATATCTAATCGTAGATTCATTTATGTGAATCTTGATTATTATTTTGTGATTATGATTTTATCGAATTGGTTGACTGAAGAAGGGGTCAGGTATGTTCTCCTACTATAATTTACGTGGGTTGTGTGTTAATACTTAATAGATAGTCTCTATAAACATTTTATATTGGTTGTGGTTAGGACTGGAATCGTACTATAGTTCTTGAATTGTAGAGTTTTCCGATGGGGGGCAGTAGGTCCCTACCAACCGGCGGTAGGTGACTACCATCACCATCTATTCTCTGTAGTCAACATCCTACCAGACGGTATCGGGTACCGTGAAACGATACCAAGGTATCATACCGCGCGAACAATGCCAAACCTGTTTTGATTCTTTGTTGCCTGAATTAAGTCATAGATTAATTTCGAGACGTTGTGTGCTGCATGACGGTAAGTGGAAGGTGTTTACACTCAACACTATGTCGTTATTTGTACTATCTGATGATTTGGATGATTGATATTATCTCCCTTAATATTTTAAATATAATCTTGAATTACTTGAATAATTACTTAAATAATTAATAATTCATATCTAATCACTTTATTTATAAGTAAAAAATGAGTTAAATTTTTCTTACATTGGTTATACGTAGGTCAAAATTAATTTCATAGATATGTCAATGACTTTGGGTGATGGATTCTCAAACACACAAAAAAGAATTAATAGAAATGATTATAAGTCATCCACACCGGCCCCTTGATATTACAAAGATAATAATAATAATAATAATAATAATAATAATAATAATAATAACAACAACATTATTATTATTATAATTATTATTCTTATTCTTATTATTAATTATAATTACCAGATATCTAATATTACACCTTTTACTACAATTACTTTACACTTGACAGTTGAGATGCATGCAAATTCCAGGTGAGCCTCTATTTAGTCAAGACCACCAAGAAAACTTGCAAAGAAATGCCACATACCATCGTGTTTTGAACATGCAAGAGAATTTAGGTTAGTTCATCGTCACATAGTGGCATTACGAGTGATAATGACCATGTTCTATTTTATATTCCCATATTCTCAGGTGAAGGCTTCCCATTTGTTGAGAATTTAAATCTACATACATCAATGTTAGTCACGAAACCTTTTTCGACTCACTTATATACTATTTATTTTAAAATCATTAAAGTTAATACTCTGTATAAATGATGGCAATAACTTTGTCATATGCACTAACTACATTATAAATTTAACATTTAAGAGATACTAAAGAAATTTGTACAACAACAACGATTCCGTGTAATGGTGAATTTTTTGCGAACAATCCTTTACATGCTTTTTACTTTATTTATCGCCTCATTAATTGTCAATGTCTCAACAAATTAATTATGACAATTATTATTGATAGAGTTTGGGATGTAAAGGATGCAACATGTACATGTGATCATCGTGGAGCACATTTTTGGTATGTCGAGCGGTTGTCTAGCAGTCGTAAAAAAAAATAGTCCCATATATAGAGAATGTTGTGGCAAGGGTAAGGTCGAACTATCAAAGCTCTTATTAACTCCGCCCCAAACGTTGCTTAACCTTTATTTTGGGAATGACAAGAAAAGCAAACATTTCACATCAAATATCTACGTCTACAATAATATATTTTGTTTCACTTCAAACTATTTGGTCAAAATCATCACAAAATTGGTATGGTGCTACCTCCTGAATGAAAAATGTATAGATTTACATAATCGTACATCTATGAGACTTTAAAGATAAGCTAGATTTTGAGGCCATCAATGTTGTGTATAAAGAGGTTTTTCAAAATTTTTGAAAAAATACAAAATATTACGAAGTACATAATACATAATTGAGAGTTAATTTTTAGTAAAGATAATGGTTGATTATGTTTACATATGATTAAATATTGGAATGAATCAAAAGAACCTACATATCCATTTATATCCAAATTATTATTGATTACCAATGGAAAAAATCTTATCAGATTTATTTTAAAATTGTGTGCATTATTTATTAAATCTAAAGATTAATAAATAATAAATTTACATACGTAGGCATATATGTTATCTAATATTCAATGATATCTTGTATAGCTTATACTATGAAGTATGAAATATATTTCTTTATATTCTTTATTTTAAAACTTTAAAATAATTTTTTATTTTTTATTTATCTAATATTATAGAAATTATTTTTTCCCTGTGCAACGTACAAGCGAAATACTCATATTCATAAAAAATAATACTAAAGTTCAAAGAAATGGATGAAAAATGTGTGAAATGTAGAGTGATGTGTCTAAATAGTGAAATTTTTTAAATTTTAATCTAGTTTACTACCTCCGTCTCGGAGTATTTGTCTAGTTTTGACATTTTTGAGTCAACCATTTTCAACATTTGATATATAACTAAATAAAATATATATTATATAATACTCTGTAATTATATAAAATAATATTTTGAAAATATTTTACAATAAATCTAATAAAATTATTTTTGTATGAATATCTAATATCACTTTTATTTAATTTGGGGTCAAATTTTACCAATTTATTCAAAAAAAAGTCAAAAATAGACAAATATTCATGTATTTTTCAACAGTTATATTTAAAAAAAG